GCTTCCCCTTTAGCTCTCAGTGGCTGGTAGCACTTAGAAGTCTAAAGGTTCACACCACCCACTTTCAACGTGCTCTCACCCTCCCTGTCATTAGCAGCTAAGCTCACAGCTAACATTACGACACCTCAGCATGTTCCTGGGAGTGTTTTGCACGTTGCTCACCATAAACGTCTGAGATTTTAACCCGGAGTAACACAGCATGAGGGATGTTTGAAACTTTAAACAAAATAAGAATAAGCAAATTACTTGATTGATAACATACAAAAAAAACAAAAAACAAACAGTATCTGTCATTGGAAAAAAAAACATAATTAACACCTTTGCATTTGCAAATCTTTGATATTGGAGATTGTTTTTATAATGTCGACCTACTTTTAGTTTTTGCTGTCAATAAAAAACTTCTGCTCTCCTTAGTTGCACTCTGGTCATAAAACGACTCAGCTTTCCTGCATTTGCCCTTTGAGCGACCCAACAGTGGGTCCAGTGGTATGTGTGTGTGTGGGGGCAGGCAGCCTCTGGAATGCTTGTGTGTGTGTGTGTGTGTGTGTGTGTGTGTGTGTGTGTGTGTGTGTGTGTGTGTGTGTGTGTGTGTGTGTGTGTGTGTGTGTGTGTGTGTGTGTGTGTGTGTGTGTGTGTGTGTGTGTGTGTGTGTGTGTGTGTGTGTGTGTGTGTGTGTGTGTGTGTGTGTGTGTGTGTGTGTGTGTGTGTGTGTGTGTGTGTGTGTGTGTGTGTGTGTGTGTGTGTGAGCTTGGGGCAGTATGTGGTCTCTGATGTGTCTGAAGGGAAGCACACCGCAATTATAAGATATGTGTGCAGATGCGCTACATGTACACCTTAAAGAACACATGCACTAAAGTCCCCATGTGCTTACCGTTTACATACACGTGCAAATTATTTATTAGGATCATAACATAAGTAATACATTGTTTCAGGTAGACAATTAGAGAGAGCACTGTGCCATTGCACACTTGATTGAAAAGGACCTCTTATTGTGAAGTGCAATCAAATTGTGCTCTCACTGTTAAAAGGCCAATGATAACTCTGCATTCTGATTTCGAAGAGGCAGAATTATTCTGTAAACGTTTTTAATTATCAAGGCTTTAATGCCAATACTTTTTCAGGCAGTGGCATAAAACATTTATGATTCGGTTCTTTGATTATTTGAAAGTATCACTAGTTTTGTAGCTTTGCATTTTTGACTTGTGTTAAGGGTTTATGTTTGAAATAATGTAATAGTTCATGACTATTGATGAACCCTTGAAAATGTATAAACTCCAAGTTTTACATCATGTATCCAAGAAAGCATACCCTCTTTGAGTAGTATATTATGTTCTCAATGTAAAACAGTGACATCCTGTGGTTGCTAAAAATACCGATGCTGTTCAGCTGACTTAAGTAATTCAAAGGTTGCATAACAAATAAAGCCATGAATGCATACAATATTTGATATATTTGTAGCAAATATATAACATCTATATATTTCTCCATTGAATCTAATTTCTTCTTCAGATTAAGCTCCATGTTGGCTTTCTCTCACACCCTTTAACACACATGTACTGACAGCTCACTGACCACATATATCATTTGACAATCTGGAGAAAGCCATTCATGCTTTATTCTAATTCATGCTCTCCTCACGTTTCGACCAGGCTACAGCAGTGCACTTACCTTTCCCTTTTGAACCTGATCCCCCACAGAAGGGAGCATTTATCTCTCCAAAGCCTTAAAGAAAGCTTTTATCTATGTTATAGTTGTTTTACGAGCAAATAGCTTTAATGAATCAAAATAGTTTTCAAGAAATGCAATCTTTATCGAGGCTATTGTATTACTACTGTACAGTGACTGCCACCATTAAAGTAACCATTGATCATCTGTTAGCAGGAGACAGGTGAAATATCGGTTTCATTACTTTCACATCTTAGTGCAGTCAGTGACACTCTAACCTATGCAATTCTTATTAACTGCTTCAAATTCAGGACTGGCTTGAAGGTCACCGAACGTAATTGGTTCAGCTGATACAACAAACTTTCTGTCACAAGGGGGGAATACTACTTCTTCGTTAAGAGGCGGTACTATTATAGTATATTGCATATTGCTTTCCATTGTGATGCCTTGTTAGTCCATGAACACATTACTTACATTACAGTGAAATCTTGCATCATAACACACTGATGAATCACAGATACAGGTGGTCTCAGAACGGATTCACTGAACTATGATCTGGTTTGTTTTTCTAGTTTGAAATATATTTTTGGTTGCTTTAAACTTACAGACCAATTACAGGAGGATGTCTACCTCCATATTATGAAAGTACCACAGATCCTTTGGCGAACTCAGTGTTCAGGGAGAGAGAGGGAGAGAGAGAGAGGGGAGAGAGGGAGAGATGGAGAGAGGGAGAGAGAGGGAGAGAGGGAGATAGAGAGAGAGAGAGAGAGGGAGAGAGGGAGAGAGGATATGCTGCAGAAAGGTGTTGGCAGAGAGGCAATTATCAGTGAAGTTGGTGTTAAAGGTGGTAGTTAAGGTACTGTGTAGGTTTCAGTTTGTCTCTTAAGCTGCACTCACACTACACTGCTTACCAAGAGGCTGGTGCTAATTTTGGGGTGAAGACAGCTATTTAGCTTCTTTTCCATGGTTTCATCCCCTGCTTGTGCAAATTCGAACAGCTGGTATCTAAGCAAGGATTGCGATTTGAATAAAGGGGCAAACAATGTAAAAGTATAAATTATTTGACCTTTGTGAGTGAGCTCTGGCCATTTTGAGCAGTGAAAAATGCCAAGGGTAGAGCTAACCCCTAGTTGAGCGGCACAGACTTTGAGGAACAAACTGCATAACGATTGCAGAGCGGTTTTACTGCTGATCAAGTGAAGGCAGCTTCAACATTGGAGAAGTAAGCAAAAGTATACTTCATTTTAATAATTATCTAATTGTAGAACAGACAATTGTAGGCAACTCATTTAAAGTATATGCATTAACACTGGATTAAAACGTTGCTAAATCTAGCAGCAAAGTTCCTTTAGGCCCTCCATCCAAACGTAACCCAAAGCTGTCAAGCTAGCAACTTGTAGAAGACTCCGGTGATTAGCAATGAGTGCACAGGCAGAGTGCGCGCAGGTAGAAAGGCAGGTTGCCAGTGCAATCATTTCATTCGGGTTTAAAAATAATATTAGACAGGGCATTTGCTCTTTTTAAAGAGAGAAATGCAATCTTTTTTTTTTCATCTAGCTTGTAATGCCTTTTGTGCTTATTGACATCTGGACTGCTTGAAATGTTTCCATCAAATTCTAGACACTTACACAACAAATCACATTACTCAATTTCTGACTTTTTATATTTGGATTTATTTTAGGGTTTTATTTTGTATTAGTAACTGCAGTTTGATCTGGTCTTAAGCTGCAGTTATAACACATTTAAGAAATCCCTATGATTTCCCTATCACATGAAGGTTTTTTTGTGGTCCCAAGACCGAGGGAGACCTGGCTTTTCACTAAACACCCCTGGTCTGTAGCCTTTGGGTCATAACCACATGTTTTCCATTCAATCATTCTGTTATGCAAGCAGTCTAGCAATTAACATACAATCTTAATAGTACTGTAAACCCACAGAGTTAATGTACAACACCTGGAAGACATCTTATTAGTCAGCACTCTGTGGTGTACCTGCATATTGCTCTATACAGAGGTCATTCTAAATATAGACTGAGCGTGCAATAGTCTGGAGATGTGTACGTCTCGACGAGTGCAAGTGAGCGGTATTGGGTATACAAATTGGGTCTTTTAATGGCCTAAACACATACTTTTTCTACCAGTTAAAATGTAACATTTAGGAATGATAATGCAATATTGTACATGTTCAATTGAAGCTTCATTCTGCCTGACTCTCACTAATGTGTCTGAGTTGGATTGATTGCCTTCATGTGTTGCATGTGTTTGTTGTCTTACATGTGTTTCTACTAACCATATTGAACTTCTGTGGTAGAGAAAGTTTCCATCTAAACCTCATTACAGTGATGTTTGCATCTGGAGCACATGAGACCAAGGAAACAAGATGATTTTGCGTGTGCAGTGTTATAAGGCTTAAACCTTCTGCTTACTGGAAAGTGGAAGTGGCACAACCTGCACTAAGGACCAGACAATCTAATTCCCTGTTATTAAAGGCAGTCTTGAAAATGCTCTTTAAGGCTGACCGTGCTACTATGACATGGAAGCTTTGTTGTAATGGCAAGTTATGAGCCGACATGTCAGGCATATTAGTTGTAGCTGAAATCGAAATATTCTGCTTTAATCTTAAATTCCCTAATGTGTCAAAAGTAAAACAATTCATCAAGTGTTTACCCTACAAAAATCAAATTATGAACACAAAGTCCCTTTTGGCTGTCTCTGCTCATGACAATTAAAAGTGATTCAGAAGATGTAGCTCCCCACCCGATTTTCTTTCCATTGTTTTAATCATCACGTCCTATGAGAGTGTGGCACTCATCAGGATAAAAAAGATGCGTGGTGACCATGGCAACCAAATTGACATTCCTAACACTTAGTATGTTTAATGGACAGCAGTGTGACTTGAATACACAGAGGACAGAAATATGCAGAAACTCTCAGGTATATTCATCTCTCAAATGACTACTCCTTTGTAACAAAACACAGTCAGTTTTACTTTATCTCTCAAAGGCTCTTCTGAATCAAGTGTAGCAGCCTGAATAGAAATGTAATGTATTACATCTGACACTGTTGACACTGTGCTCTCATTGGGACTTCTATTTGAGTTAATTGTTAATGGATTTCAATATGTAATCCCTAAAAGAGTTAAACAACATTATGTGATGTATTAAATCGAAGAGGATAAAACCACAATACATATCTTTATTTGATTACGTTTTCATGTCAAAATAAAGGTTGCCACAGATATCCGAGTCCATCATTCATTCTATTCCAGCACGTTAACAAGAAGGTTACAGAATGTAATAGAAACATAATTTTGTATAAGATAAATCATCTTTTGACCCTGCATTAAAGGAGTTTCTGTGATGAATTTAATGTCTTCCCCGTGCACCTGTTTTCTGCCAAAGAAAGAAAATCAAAATCCATTAGTAGAGCAAACAAACAGCTGTCTTTATATTTTTAAATAACATTAGTTTAATTATGCTTGCATGCGTGAATATACTAACATGCTGATGTATAATTAAGAATATGGTTAGGGTTAGGGTTGGGTTAGGACTCACCTAGTGTTTTGTTCAAAAGCTTAAACATGTATTTACAAGCAAATTATACTTTATTGGTAAAGTCACGTACCCAAGCAAAAATGAAGACAAAGTAGACAACGGCTGTGCAGCCAACAATCCATCCCACTATCAGCAGAACAGGGAAGAGTTTGTGGGACGAAGCTGAGAGACAAATATAAAAGAAACAATTAAAACGTGTTGTGGAAAGATTTGCTGAATTAAACTCAGGATCATGTTTTGCTTGAATTGGTGGTTGGAATGTGGGTTTCTTACCTCTCTTGGACATGGCACCTCTCTCTTCTATAATCTTTTTGTTGTGATGGGTGCACCGCCAGGCTCCGTGCTGTGAAGGCTTGACACTGGCATCCGGCAGGGAAGGGTGGAACAAATCTTGGGGATTTAAATCCATCCTTAGCCCTTCATCGGTCACATCTGACTCTAGCCTATGCCCCTCTCAACATTAACGAAACACATTATGATAATCCCAGGAACGTACGGTTTTCCCTTATCTTTTGGAGGTGATGCCACTCTCGTCATATTCTTCTCTCAGTGGACCTGGTCTCATCTGTGCAAGGCCCTGTGCCTTTCTCCCTGTATTCCCCTGGAGGAGCTTCTGCAGCTGGGGCCGGCAAATTCTGTCTCCCAAGGGTAAAGTGGGTCTTCATCAGTTAGCTCAATAAAGTGAGGAACAAACAAAGAGGCTGGAAAGGTTGAGACATGGCAACACATGCTGTTATTGATCATGGGGGATGATATTTTGATAAGTTGGACACACAAACAAGAGGCTTTTAAAATGTGTTGGGTTGTACTAGAAGGAAGAATGAGTCTGAACATTGCTTCTATCAGATCAGCAGCAGGAGCACGGATCCTCTATGGATACAAGGAACACCATCTGAGCTGCTTTCAAACTGGGTATGTTGTGACCCAATACAGTAAGGCATTAGTTAAATCATCCACCGTATCAGCATCTTGCCATGTCTCAACCGAAGCATAAAGTAGAACATAATCTAATAGTGTAAATGAGCTATATTCCTCAATGTATCTGTTCTCTGCACACCATTTCCCTTTTTCAAACAAAAGTTTGTTATTATAACAACATGTTTATAACAGTCTACGTAATTTTGAAGCTGTGATAACATCAAAATATATTTATTAAGCCTGAAAACATCTTGTTATAATGTAAAAAAAAAGCCTAAAACAGCATGTCACAATAAACATCTTAATGTCAAGAGGTTACGCAAAGGACTTTTTCTTGTCCGGAGCTGTGGTTTCCTGGAGCCTTGATGTTTTAACACTTTGATTTTTGCGCAGATTTAACACATGAGATTAAGTTTATATGAGTGTGAGAGATTTTGGGACAGGGATTTTGTCACGGATAGGTCAGCTTTTCAGTTTTCAGTCTTTGTGCTAAGGTAAAATGCATTTGATCTTAGATGAGGCAAATGGCTCGCAGCTTCATATTTCGTATATCAAACTATTCCTCTAACAGAGCGAAAGAGGCCAGGGGAGAGGAAAAGAGATGAGAGGAGAGGTAATTACTGGAGACTCTCTAAGAACCAACAATGGCTGAAGGAGGAGAGCACAGGAAGAATGATAGAGTGGAGAAGAGAGGGCACTCGTGCTATAATTGAACGAACACTTGTCACTGACAGAGCCTGATCCTGAAAATGACAGCTCTCTCTTTCTTCCTCTAACCCCTCTCATCTTTTTAGACCACTCGAATATATCATCTGCTAATTGTATCAGAAGTATGCCCGCATGTAACCCATCATTAGTCAGGTACGGTTCAAGAGATATAGGCTCAAGTTGATTGCGTGATAACATGGAATTACCCAATCCCTGCTACTATAAAGTTTAGTTGTTGATTTTCATCAAAATATTTTGTACTATCTTTCAAAGGTCAATAATAAGGTCAAAGCCTTAGTCTCTGCAAAAGTTACAGTTCCTGAGATTAAGATAAGAAAAGGCACGTAATCTATTTGGAAACTGCTGTCCCCGTCGATCTAAATAAGCACCATGGGTTTGCTCCATTACTGTTTTAACTCCAAATTACTTGTTTACAATTCTCTCCTACCCAATCTGTTTCCCTTCTTATGTGGCATTGATTTCTCTAGGCTATATTAAATGCATAGTCCTCCTCTTCTTTTCTTTGTTGTTACTAGAAATAACCCTCACTGTGGCTGGCATGGAGTGTGTTTTGAGAAGAAGATGGAATATATCACCTCATTTGTTGTACCGCTGTTAAATTCCTCTGAACAGCAGATAGAGCATTTGATAAAAGGTCACATATTGTCTCCACGGGATATTGAATTTTTCTAGCTCTTGTCACATTCATCCCTTTTATCTGGCTGCAGCATACTATGTTGTGTTAACTAAGGCATGCTGTTCATACTTTGTCCTTCAGTTGGATTTCTCTTGCTGACCTTCTGTCTTCCAAGTGATGCATATCTCTGCACTGCTTCACTCTGCTGCCTCCCTGGGATTATCCTGCAGGGATTATAAAGAGGTCGATGGTTAAGATTATTCCAGGTAAAAATAATCCGGTACGTGATGAGGAGATATTTTTCCTGTTTGTGCGAACAGGTGAGTTGGATTTTTGTAGTAAATTGTAGATTCCTTTGAAAAGATTTTGAATATCTTTTGTCCTTGTTTAGCTGAATTAAGTCTGTTTAACACACTTTGTCGTCATATGTCCTGATTTTCAATGATCAACTTTCTTTTTTTCCCCTGTGTCGCACCTGCTCCAGTTAGAACCAATAAGCTTCTCACTGGCTTCAGGCCATGATCTTTGCAGTGGAGGAAATGTCCAATAACCCTAGTCCTCCTATCAAACTTCACCCTCAGCTATACGGCAGATGATACTTGTCTAGCAGAGAGCGCCACTCAAAAGACTCAGACTTAGTTTGGGTTCATTTGTGTGCCAGTTATTTTTGGCGATCTTTGCACTGCAGCCTCCATTGTGGCAAACACCTATGAGGTGTTAGGTAGACCCATGGTGAGGTTTAATGATGTGTGACAATCATAATGATACTCAATTCCCAGTAATACTGCACACGCGTGGGCAAAGATTGAGCTGCTGCGCATCACAGGGTGGACTTTGGGGATTGGTACAGTCTACGGGTGATGATTTTGAAAGATTTGGGAATCAGATGTTGATGGATTCAGTCAGCAGAACTAAAGTGTGTGTTGCTTATGATGAAGTGATTTTAAATGCCTAATATTAAAGTGTAACTGTACGCCCTATCTATCTTTCTTTCCCCTTACTTCCTAACCATAATATCTAATTCTTACCATCTAAATTTGATCCTTTCCCAGATAGCAAAAAGTCATTGAATCAACATTGAGATATTGTCACGCTGAAGATTGCAATCAACATTGATGTCAGACATTGAAAATAACATTGAAAGTGCTCGCTATGATCAGCATTGAAAGAACATTGCATTTTCAATCAATCCCAACAATGAATCAACCTTGATTCAATTACGATATGATCAACATTGAAATAATGTAGAATTGCATCAACATTGATTCAACTATATTATGCGTTGCATTATACATTGAAACAATGTTATTATCAGATAGCAAAAAGTAATTGAATCAACATTGAGATATTGTCACACTGAAGATTGCAATCAACATTGATGTCAGACATTGCAAATGAACTAAAATGAACAAACAAAAAAAGAGCCATTATTTCTTCAGTTAATTATTACGATTTTATTCAATTATATGAACATTTTGTACATCTTTTGTCCACTTTAGCACACAACACATTCACACAAAACATTCTCTCTTTTAAAGGTCTCATCATATGCTTTTCCGGTTATTACCCGTCCCCTTGTGTGTTATGTAGCTTTTTCTGCATGTAAACGGTCTGCAAAGTCACAAACCCTCAAAGTACACCCTGTAGCGAGTAAAACTCTAACACAGAAAATACCTGTCTATGCTGCCCCAGAACGCCTCGTTGGACATTTCTCTTTTTCCATTTTGTTCTTCCTGAGTAAAGTGACGTAATGGCATGTTTCAATAAATGTAATTTGTATAATCACTCTTTTGTCTTTAATCTACATGAAAATGTTAGAGACTCCATTCAAATCTGTTGATTATTCAGATCTTCCTGTGCTGTCCCCGGTATATGTAGTGTATTGTAGTGACCACTATTTAACTAGGGTACATAATTCACGCATGGAACTACAGGTTGGGGGTATTGTTTCGCATGGACACATATCTTGACGGTACCTCCGGGGTACCTACTGTGTGTGTGTCTCTTGCACTTTCTCTTGTCTCCTGTGCCTTCGACCCGACAGCATGTCGATTTCTGCTCCCCAATAAAGAGAGATTTGCACCTCCGATGCACCGCCTCCGTCTCCCTTCTCTCGGCACTACAGTGGTGACCCTGACATAAGTCTCGCGAAGGATCCGAGACTGAATCGAACACGGCAAAAAGCACAGCTTTTCTCGAAATGCCGGGGATTTTTGGAGACCTCCGTAGCTGCCTCGTGCGCTCGGACTGTGGCTCGGTGCGCCCCACGGAATGGACGCGGACGACGCTCGCCATTTCCACGGCTTTTCGGCTCTGGGGGACGGCAAGCCTTCCATGGGGCCGGTACACGACCGTGCCGGGTTGGTTCGGGACATGCGGCTGCATGTCCGGCCAGCGACTAACGGCCGCCAAGATCAGCTAGCCACGACTGCTAACGGCTAGCAGCTGGCAACAGCTAACAACGGCTAGCCACAGCAGCTAGCGGCTGACATCCGACTGTTTTTTTATTTTTATTTTTGTTTTTTTGTGGTGCCGGAGAGGAGGTTCGATCAAGTCTGGTCGGCCTCGCGTGGATCCTCTCGCTATTTCGCCCACCTGTTTTTGTTCGTGGACGGGACGACCATTTTTGAGCTTTTTCTGGTGCCTGAGAGGAGGTTCGACCATGTCTGGTCGGCCTCGTGTGGACCCTCTCGCTGTTATCACCACTTCGACGGCGGTTTCGGACGTCACACGCGGCTGCTTCGGCCCGTGGGTGACGCGCTTCTGGACCCCGTCTCGCCTCTTCCCTCGCCTCGGCGGTTTCGAACGTCACCCGTGACTTCATCGGCCCGCGGGTGGCGCGCTTCGGGACCCTGCCTGGCCTCTCCTCTAGCCGCGGCTCACGGTTCGCCTCGACGGCGCCCCGTCTGGCCTCTCCCCTGTCCACGTCTCCCTCCTCCCGGGGACACGGCTCCTTCCTCCCGAGGGCTTCGTGCCCGCCGCCGCTGTGCCTTCGCCTGCGGCCGGGCGGCGCTCCTCCCTGCTGGGGACCTCCGGGTGTTTCACGCCTGTCCCCACGACGCGACCCTGCTTTCTGCGGCCCCCTGACGA